GTTGAATCAAATACCACCAATGCATTGGGCAAGAAGCCATTTTACAGGTAAATAAAATTGATCTTATTACTTGATATGCAACTATTTTTTATTGGCCAATGATTTTAATTGTGGATTATGCAGGTAGGGCCATCTCAGATGTGCTTCTAAATAACATGTGTGAAGTTCTGAATGGTAAGTTGGAGAAAGGAAGGGACAAGCCAATCATTACATGCTTGGAATTTATAAGGGAATATCTAATGAAGAGGATCTGCAATGTGGTTAAAGAGCAAAGGAAATGCCAAGGTCCTCTCACACCTACTGTAACCAAATTGTTAAAGAAGAATGAGCAACAAGCAGCTGAGTATATTGCAAGGTGGAATGGTGGTGGAAAGTATCAGGTAGCTGGACCATGGAATGATCAACATGTTGTGGACATTAACCAGATGACATGCACGTGTAGGAAGTGGGAGTTGATAGGAATCCCTTGCAGGCATGCCATAGCCACTTGGAGTGAGATGACAGACAATGGGGAAATGGTAGGGGAGCTGTACACTTGGGTACACAAAGTTTATTTACTGGATACTTGGAAGGTTGTGTATGACTTTAAAGTTGAACCTATAAAAGGTAGGCCAATGTGGCCTAAAAGTGATCGTCCCACTAGAATTATCCCACCTCCATACCACAAAATGCATGGCAGGCCAAAGAAGAAAAGAAGACAGTCCATGGAGGAGAGAATGAGCCAAAAGGAAAAGTCCAGTCAAATTGAAAGTGTGATAGCAAGTCAAAGTCAAACTCAAGGATCCAAATAAGTGGAGAAGCTTAGTAGGAAATTTGGGAGTGTCACTTGTGGTAAATGCAAACAAAAAGGACACAACAAAAGGACATGTAAAGGTCAAGGTGCAGGTCAACAAGAGGGTGGAGGAGCTAATGAGGGTCATGGTCAAGAGTAGTTTGTATGGTCAAGTGTAATGTTAAGTTGTTAAATCATCTTTTGGTCTAATTTGTTCAAGAAACTGGCATATGTTGGTTGTTTTAACAGTTATTAGTATGTTAAGTTATTTTGCAATTCCAAAACTCATGTGGTTGCTTCTTTTTTGTTACACTTGGATATTGTAATGATAATTGCTTTTGGTTATGTGCAATGGTATTGTAATTTGCATTGACTTATTTGGATTATATCTTATGATTCAATAGCACTTAGTAAGTTCCAAAATGGTATTGTACTTTTCTTAATACCATTTCCTGTATTGTATTACCATTATAGTCTCCATAATAACAACAATTAAATAAGATAATATTCCATACATTATAATTCGAGGTACAAGGTTCATGAAATGACCATTATAGTATACAAAGGCCTATTCATCAAAACAATAAGATCCCAAAAAACCTTAGCACCATAGGTAGAACTTAACCCTAATCCTTAATTCCACATCCAGAAAACAAGAAAAAAATCCAACTGCAACACAAGTAGAACTTCAATTTACAAACTTCATCTTCTAATTCTTTCACTGTCATCTTCAGGTAAAACCTCAAATTCTGAATTTCATCTTCTAACTCTTTCACTGAAAGCTTCAAATTGTTCATGCTCTTCAATAGACCAGGAATGATAGCCTTAGCACGATCACACATTGGAGGATCAAACCATCCAAGGAATCGACATTTTGAGTCCTTATAAAGATGAAGCACACAAAATTAGGGCAACAATAAGGTGTTTGATTGCAAAAATTAGAACGCTAATTTACCGGTAGAGGGCATGCGTAGAACCGTCGGCCTGGATTGAGTGGAGTCCACGATGTGCACAACACAGAATTGTTGCCACAAAAGCATATGATTGTTACCATTTTCGCAAAGAGAGCCGTTGGGGAAGATGGGTTTAAGTCGAGGTTAAATAGAGAAATTAGATTGCAATTTTGGTCCCATAAATGAAAGGACAAAAATACCCTCGCGTGCATGGCACGTGGGGAAGAAAACGGAATGCCTCTAACGGCAGTTAGAGGCAGGGACCAAATCCACAGCTCAAACATCAAATAAAGACGTTTTTTGCTAACAAACTTTTTTTTGGACCTTACCCACAGAAATCGGCAAACCACAGGGACCATTTTTGCAATTTTGTCTTAATAAAATAAGTTGTCATTCCTCTAATCTCAATTTTCCGGATGGTGCAAAGTATGATACTAGTAATTCTTTCTCAAAAAATTAACCTCCTTTATATATATATATATATATATATATATATATATATATATATATATATATATATATATATATATATATATATATATATATATATATAGAAAAGTTCAATAGAGAACCATAATTATTAGTTCTTCAAGAAACCAAAATCTTTTTTTCAATTTCTAGAGCTTATTTTTTATCGAAAAAAAAATCTAAAAATATCTAAATTCATATATTAACATTGTGAATGTGAAAAATATTTTTCAGATTCACCGTGTGAATCCGGATTTACATTGTGAATTTTCAAAGATTCACATTGTGAATTTGACGTAAAAAAAATCGAATTTGATATCATTGGAAAGAGGATTAAAAGTTATGAATTTCTGTATTTTTAGTCTTTTTTTTTATAAAAAATAAGTTGTAAAAGTTGAAAAAAAAAATTGGTTCATTGGTTAATTATGGTTCTCTATTAAACCTCATCCTATATATATATATATATATATATATATATATATATATATATATATATATATATATATGAAAATAGGTTGTTTTTTAAAATAAAAACTTCTAATTAAAAAAATAGTATTTATTAAATTACCCAAGGTAGGAAGGAAGTAAGAAAAACAACAGATTTAATGACCTCAAATGAATTTTGTTTGCCAGCTGTGCATAGTAGGAAACAGACAAAGCTAGGGAAGAAGCGTCAGGTAGCCGCATCCCACCGACATTAATGCGTATACGATGTGCCGCATTCCTATGGTTTATCAATGTCACACAAATTACCCCTTTTTATCCTTCAAAATCAAGAGAATATATTCACCCAATCAAAGTTTAACTTAAATAATATAATTATTAGTATTTATTATTCAAATGAATGCTAGCTGTGTTCAAACCTTAAGTACTTAAAATATTATTAGTATTTTGTAATTTAATTATTTTTAAAATTATATTGTGTGATTTTTTTTTATTAAATCTCATAAAAAATTAAATTTAACTCTCATATTTATATGGTATCACATTTTAAAAGACTCTAAGTTGGTCGTGACTCATCTCATATGTCTTTTTAACCATATACTCGGTTAGATTCATGGTTATGTCTCATTTAGTTAGATATTAACTCAATTAGATCTAAGTCAAGTAAATACTATCAATTAACTTAACTTGAATTTTATTTGAAATGTATTTATTTTGACTTAGAAGTTATTAGAAACAAAACTTTTAGTTTGTTTATTATTAACGTGTCTAATAAGAAAATAAATAAGTTCTTTACTTTAATGTCTTAATTCTCAAAGTTAATGATTAAATCAAAAGCCGTAACAAGTGGTTGAATTGGTCAATTGTTTAAGACCATTTTGCACGTTGAATATTCAGAGAAAATTTGACAATATATGAAGTAACAAATGTGTTAATTTCTTAACATGTCTAAGACCGTTAATGCTTGTTGCATATTAGAGGTTGTAATATTGACCAATTCGCGGATTAATTTGTCAGTTTCGTTATGCTCTATATCTAATAGATGAAATAGATAATAATAATAATAATAATAATAATAATAATAATAATAATAAAGAAAAAAAAAGGAGTTTTGATAAAATATAAAACGTCTCAAATTGGTTGAAAATGCTTAATTGGTCACAAATACTCCCAATAAAGTTATAATATATAATCTTATAAATATTTATATAAAAAATGTGTAAATACTATGACATAAAATCTTCATAATGTGATTTTTTTTCTATATAATATTTTTCAGTAACAATAAATACTAAAATTATCTTTTAAAAATCGTTTAAAAGAAACAGTGAAACAATTTTGTAAAAAAATTATTTTTTAAGTGTATATGTATATACAAATATGTATATGCATTTGCATATATGCATATTTATTTATTTGTTTATTTTTAGAATAAATGTCTTAAACACAATTTATGTATTTGTTTAATGTTATTTTTTTATATGTATGATTTATATATGTTTATACATATATATTTTTCTTGATATATTTATTTATTTAATTGTCTTAGATGGTTTTTAATACTAGGCGGATTGGAACTCAGTGAGGCTCAACGAATCCAAGATGGACTCGGAAAACAACGCGTCGTGAAAACTCCGCAAATGCTCACCGAGTCTCTTTCTGTCTTCTCTTCTCCTTCTTTTCCTCTCCACTGTCACCCACTCCCTCCTATCTTCTTCCTTTCTTTTTTCCTAAGCCGGAGATGATGTGGAGCTCGGTGCAGTCGGCATCACTCCCCTCTGCCTAAGGGTTTGTGTGATGTTTTTTTTTCCTTCTTCTAAATTTATATGTTTTGGATTTGAACCTTTAATTTTGGTTGATGATACAATTCGTCAGCTTCTTATAAAAGTAGCCTAATGACCATATATATATATATATATATATATATATATATATATATATATATATATATATATTAATTTTATTGAATTCGAATTCAATATCGCATAGGTTACTTATGGAGCCTCGTGATCAGGCTCAGCCGCTCAGGCCCTGCTTTCTTCTTTTTTCCTTTTTTATCAAAACCGATAAAGTTTTTCCTCCGCCGTTTTAACCTTTGACCACCGGTGGGGAAACTTGCTCGGCCTTAGCTTTGACACTGTTCTTGTGTGTTTTTCTCGCAGAATCACAATGAAAAACTCATACAAAATTCAGATTATGCAATTGCTCTTGAACATTTCATCCATTCAAACTCTGAGATAAACTCATTTCTCTAAGATACATATTCCCGAAAAAAAAAATGATAACAAAAACAAAATTGGGGGACTCAGACTCAAAATTTTTGCTCCTCGGAATTTACAATCACCGGGGAAACGCCTAGATTATTAGTTAGAAACATGGGTGGCGCTGACACTGACAGTGACGTCGGCGGGTGTTGCTAAGTACGTCGGAAGTTCATCTCCGGCCATAATCACGACGATTTTGGGTGTGTCATCTGCTCCTTCGCCACCGTTGTACACCGCCTTCGCTGCCTTCTGATCATCACCACCGCTTTCTATGTCTCCACTACCGTTGGCTTCCAATCGCCGCCTCCGTTGAGAACACGCCAGAATTATCAACGCCACGACTATCAGAGCAAGTATTACAGCTATCCCACCAAATAAATATATCAACGGCGAATCAAACCTCCAAAAAGACTGTTCAGATGAGCCCATTGTTTTTATGTCTGTGTATTCTTGGTGTGAAAACTGTGTGTATTCTGAAAATTTTAATCGAGGAAGCAGAAGCATATATAGTGGAAAATATACAATATGCAATGCAAAAGGTACAAGTCTCCGAACCAAAGTAAATTAATGGGGTAATGAATTGGGTCAGGAATAAAGGTCGGGTTCTTTTTATTTATTTTGTGAAAATTATATCTAATGATAATATGTTTTTTTTTTTTTTTTGTTTTGTTTTGTTTTGTTTTTTGAAACCGCAACTACCATACATCTAAATACGATCTAAATCTCCTATAGGGATGTTATTCGGGTCGGAACCGGACTGAACCGACTCAAACCCGAATAAGGGTAATTGCGTGAAACGAAAACCGAACCAAATAAGCAATACGGGTTCATTTCGGTTCAGATATTAATTGGTTCGGTTGGTTTCAAACCGAATAACATGTACAAGATGATTAAGGACCTAATATAATCGAAAAGAACCGAATAAACCGTATTAGGATTTTGTAACTCGAATAACTCGGATAACATTTACATTATAATTATAAACATTGTATTTTGTATGACTTTTTTAGCTTATGATTTCATAACAAATCTTTTAAAGAAACAAATTTGTTAATTAAAAATAATGCAAAGTTTACATAATTGTTTTAAAGGTGCAAAAAAATGTTAGAATTTGTGTAGTAAGAATGTAAAAACGAATTAACTATTCTTGAGATATAAGAATGTAAAATCTAAACACCAAAATCTTGAGATACAGTTATGACGCAACATACTAAACACGAAACATTAAACACCAAAAAATCATATATAAGTATATAAGTTAAACATTAAACATTCAACACCCAAAATAAAATATGATTCTTAAGTTTTTAACCATATCTAAAATAATATTTGTCAAACACAAATGAACTATTCAAGAATATTGATTGGTTGTTTTCCCTTTCCACCTCCATTGTTTATCACCTCTTCTAAAGTTTTCACAACCTCATCGTCTTTCAACATTTGATCAATGTTGTCCAGAATTGGCTTTCTTGATTTCCTTATCCAATCTTGGGTGCAATCCAAAGTCTCTACTTCTCAAAGGCTTGTTGAAGAAAATCAAATATGAACCGTGGATCTAATATGACCGCAAAAACGATGTGCCATCGGTTTTGTTGACGTCGATACTGTTGGATTAGTGTCTAAGTCCATAACTATATTTGGTATGTACTTGACCCGGTTGTTGCATGGTCCTTTTGGGTTGCTTTCACCGAAGCAACTTGACTAGATGAATAATAGAGAAAGAGGTTATTATGGTTTATTAATATATTATAAGAATAATAATATATTAAAAGAGAAATCATGTTTATTTAATTAACATTGGTCAAGAATTAATTTTGTGGTCAAAAGAGGTTAATTGAATTAAGGGGACCGAACTTGTAATTATGTGATAGTTGCAAAGTTGGGTAAGGAAACCCTAGAGTATAGGGTGGACGAATTCTAAGGATAAGGCCTTAAGGAATTCGTCCAAAAGGGGGTTCTAGAATTATCTTATGGGCTGCTTGGTGGCTAAGTAACCAGATAAGGATAATAACTGAAACCCTAATTTCCACACCTATATAAAGACCCCTTGGGCATGAGAATTCGGCTACACTTGAACCCTAGAAGTCTTGGAGCCGATTTTTCCTTCAAGATCTGCAACCACCAATGAAGGTATTCAGCTAACTTGTCTATTTAATATTCAATTGGTTTTTGTTGTATGCTAGTTTAGGGTTTGCAAGCTTTGGATAAATTTGCACGTACATGTCACAACTAGGAATTTTGATGCTTTGTAACTACAACAATTATATCAATTGTGAACCAACAATGTGAAAGCATGTATGATGCTTATTCAATAACAACAAAACTTTCATCTAATACTTTATTCAAGCACTACAAATAGTTAACAAAGAATTGAAAACCCTTGAAATCCCGATTTAAGTCCATTTTGGACTAGGATTTCCTTATTGGGCCTAATGGACCAATAAGCTTCCAATTTAACTATCTTGAACATAGAACTCTCAAATGGGCCCTAATTGGACCCATATACATGAAACTTAATATTTTGGGCCTTATAAGCCTAAAATAAACTAGGTTAACTTTAATGGGCCTTATTGGGACACAACCAATTTAAAATAGTTCTAATGGGTCATAAAAATCATTCTTTGGATTAAATGGGCCGAAAATCATCTAATTGAACCAAAATATGGGCTTAAGCATTCAAGGCCCAAATCTTCTTCTTTCCCCTCTCCTTTTCTCGGCCCAACAACCCAAAAGAGAAGGAGTTGACTTTAAGTTGCCACCTCACATTTAACCATTTGGAAACCCATGCAAAAATCTCATGTTTTCATGCATGTCAACTCCCAAGTCTCTCTCTTCTCCTCTCTCTTTTTCTCTCGGCCGAAACCAACACAAACACACACACACCTCACCAAAAATTCTCTCTAAATCACTCTCAAGATCATCCTCTTCTTCTTTGAAGATCTCGAAAATTTGGCTTGAAGTCTAAGGATTTTCATCAAGTAATTCACATCCTTGGTAAGTTATTTCTTTGATTCATAACATATCTTCTTCATTTCATCAACAATCTCCCTTATCTCATACAAAGTTTGTGATCTTGTCTCTTAGAACACATCTAAGTCAAAAATCTTCCAAGAACACTTGCTAGGATCGAAACTTTCTTCATTTCCTCTTCAAAAACCGAACCCACAACTCAAGGTGAGCTTCATACCCCTCTCTTTTTGGTTTTTTATATGTTTTATGGGGGAGAATACAAGAAAAATGTGTAGATCTATGTGTATGTGTATGCTATGTGTGATTTTATGCATGTATGTGTGATTTTATGTGTTTTTGTGATGAACATGTAACCAAAAAGGGGTGATAACTCGAGACCTATGACATGAGAAAGGAAACAAACATGATCTAAGTTATTTTACACTAAACAAGTCAAGAATAATAACTTATAAGATTATGATAAACATATTTCAACATAAAACCCATTTTTGGGCTTAAATTGTCAAATATACAAAATTTGGGTTAAAGGTTGCCTAATCACGGTTTCTTAAGGGTCAAAAGAGTCAAAACAGTTACAATAATTGTTTTTCTGAATATTAAAATTTTCAAAGGACTTGAAATGTAAATTTTTAGCTTAATGGGCTAATTTTGGGCTTTTCGGCCCAATAAGCCCAAAATTGCGAAAAATGACATTTAAAGGGGCTGAAATGATAATTTCTTCAAAACAGGGGATAAAAAGTGTAACAAAACTATTTCAAGGGTTAAAAATGCTTTTCATTTCCAAAAAGGATAAAAAATGTAAAGTTTTTGGATTTTGGGCCAAAACTGTAAAAAATTGCGAAAAGTTGGGTTCCAACCGGAAAATACTATTCTAAAAGGGCTGAAACTGTTAACAAAATAAGTTTTGAGTTAAAACTATCATTTCAACAAATTTATGATGCAAAAATGCCAAGAAAATGTTTTAAGGACTAAAAATGTCTTTTCTTTTATATAAAGGACTAAAACTGTTATTTTTATAAAAAGAAAGGTGTTGAAAAGGTCAAACCACTATTTTTAAGCAAATCATTTCATTGAGTCAAAATACAAAACCACGACTTACGAAAAATCGAAAGATGAATACACGTTTAACTCCAAATATCGTTATAAACGAATCGATCGGTCTCGAATCGATATAAAAACAATGATCATTCAATCGAACCCTTCAATAGATACGCGATACCTAAGACGAGTAAATATTCAAACTTTGGGCTTGAAAGTTTCAAATCATGCTTGTTGGACCTTGCAAGTCCAATAACATGATCTTTGGGCCTAAAGGGATAACGCTTATATGTTATTGGGCCTCCTATGGCCCAATTCCATATAAAAGGACTTTCAATGGCTGTTATGTGCTATTGGGCCCTAGTGGTCCATTAGTATTGCTAGTAAGGTCAAAGTAATCAAATGCGAGTTAGGCCAACGTGTCTTTCGCATCCCCGACAGCCTAAGGTACTTACGATGGTAGCAGGACTTCGTACTCCTCTTCTCTTCGTTCGCTAAGGCTTATGAGTAATCAAAGTAGACGGAAATTAGGACGTTATTCAACAGTAATCAAGGTGGTTTGGATTAAGTGAGTAACAACGGACAACACCTCTATGGGACGTTCGTAGTTGGCTGTTATAACTTGTCTTCACCGGACATCGTTACGACGACTCACTAGGTTTATCCGACACCATCCAAGTATTCAAGGATGAGTAATCAAAAGCCATTCGTTGTGGCGGTATAACAATTAGTAATCACGTATATCTTTCGACATCGAAAAACATCGGGTTTTCCGGGGGAATCAATACTACTCGCTCGGAATTTCTATAACTATAATACAAAACACCCTTTATATATATATATATATATATATATATATATATATATATATATATATGTCTTGAAATCATTCATGCATCAACTTATGGATCTTCACACTTTGATAAACTATTGTCTTTTCAGAAAATATCGGATTTTCTGGGTTTTACAAACTATACAAATCATTTTATTCACAACCTTGCTTATGAACTCACCAACATTTCATATGTTGACGTTTTTCCAAAATAACTTGTATTCTCAGGTAACAGATAAGCGGAAGGGTAATACCAAGTATGTTAGAATGTTTTGTTTTGAAAACTCTGAAACAATTTGTGTTATGAATGTGTAATATTTGAAACAATGTACTGGATGTAAACAATATCAGTTGTAATGTATTGATGCATGGTGATGTTTATGTTATGATTCATGTATATTCATTGTGATGGTATTCAATTTAAGTCACGCGAGCCCCCGGACGTTTCCGCCGTCTGGTTTCGGGGGTGTGACAGTACAATAGAGAAACCTAGATCCAAAGCTTTAGGGTTTTGCATGTGTACATAGGAATGTTCTTTTGCTCAAAACCCATCAGTTGTACCAGAGCCTTGCTTGGTGTCTATTGTATG